GTTTATGCATAGGTTGAAATGGCAGACCTGTGCCTGTCCCCACTACACTCCAGGTACCAGTAACGTGATCAAACACCCGCTTGCTCTTGGCACGCACAATTACCCCAATTAGCATATGGGCTCGGTGTTCCTCAAACCCAGGACCGTCCAATGGAAGAAGAACCTGTCAAAGTTAACTGTATAACTGACAATACCCATATGGTGATTAATGTCAAGAAAATGTGTCTAAACATGTAATGTGCAAATGAAATGGAAAATGATGGATTAGACGATGAACCAAAAAGGCGTTTGGTGACTTAGCAGACCATCTTAGTTTTCTTTTATACTGTATGTCTCCAAGACAGTTCAAAAAGTACTACAGTATACAAGTTATTTGACTATTAGACAGAAAGTGCAAAATAGCCCCTTTGAAAAGCAGAGGTGAAATAGGTATGCTAAGAGACAATTATATCAACATTAAGGGACCTAGATTCTTCAACACTCTCCCTCTAAACATAAGGGGCATTGTTTAGCCAACCTCATAGTGTTCAACAGAGAACTTGATAAAACACCTCCAAATTATATCCTGCCAACCAGACGATGATTCATACATCAGAGAGAGAGAGATGACTGCGAACAGCATCATCTACAACCTAGTTGACTAGACCACCAACCAGGAAGGCTGGTCAGGGACTGGGCCAAAGGAATATTGATTTCCCAGAACCAGCACAAGGTAGGGAGACCCATGGCTCCTGGTATAATAGCAGTAACAGTTTCCTCAAAGACCTGTGTTCCAACCTCATTAATACAACTAAAGATTAAGGGCCTGCCAACTTTCTCTTCTGGTACCTCAGCAAAGCAATCTGGAGTAGCAACACATACTGCATCCCCAGTTCACTCCTGTCCTCCAATGAGCTTACAGAGATTCCTGGTTGATACCTGGTTGATGGGGTTCTGGGAGTTCTTCTACTCCCCAAGCCCGGCCCGAGGCCAGGCTTGACTTGTGAGAGTTTGGTCCACTAGGCTGTTGCTTGGAGCGGCCCGCAGGCCCACATACCCACCACAGCCCGGTTGGTCCGGCACTCCTTCGAGGAATAAATCTAGTTTCCTCTTGAAAATGTCCACGGTTGTTCCGGCAATATTTCTTATGCTTGCTGGGAGGACGTTGAACAACCGCGGACCTCTGATGTTTATACAGTGTTCTCTGATTGTGCCTATGGCACCTCTGCTCTTCACTGGTTCTATTCTACATTTTCTTCCATATCGTTCACTCCAGTACGTTGTTATTTTTCTGTGTAGATTTGGTACTTGGCCCTCCAGTATCTTCCAGGTGTATATTATTTGATATCTCTCTCGTCTTCTTTCTAGTGAGTACATTTGGAGGGCTTTGAGACGATCCCAATAATTTAGGTGCTTTATTGCGTCTATGCTCTCTGTATTCCCTCTATTTCAGCAATCTCTCCTGCTCTGAAGGGGGAAGCGAGTACTGAGCAGTACTCAAGACGGGACAACACAAGTGCCTTGAAGAGTACAACCATTGTGATGGGATCCCTGGATTTGAAAGTTCTCGTAATCCATCCTATCATTTTTCTGGCTGTCGCAATATTTGCTTGGTTATGCTCCTTAAATGTTAGGTCGTCAGACATTATTATTCCCAAATCCTTTACATGCTGTTTTCCTACTATGGGTACATTTGATTGTGTTTTGTACTCTGTATTATGTTTAAGGTCCTCATTTTTACCGTACCTGAGTACCTGGAATTTATCACTGTTAAACATCATGTTATTTTCTGATGCCCAGTCGAAAACTTTATTAATATCAGCTTGAAGTTTTTTAATGTCTTCAGCCGAGGTAATTTTCATACTGATTTTTGTGTCATCTGCAAAGGATGATACGAAGCTGTGACTTGTGTTTTTGTCTATATCTGATATGAGAATAAGGAAAAGCAGCAGTGCAAGGACTGTACCCTGAGGTACAGAGCTTTTAACTGCACTTGGACTAGATTTTATATGGTTGACCGTTACTCGCCGAGTCCTGTTTGACAGAAAACTGAGTATCCAGCGTCCTACTTTACCGGTTATTCCCATTGACTTCATTTTGTGTGCTATCACGCCATGGTCACATTTATCGAAAGCCTTTGCGAAGTCCGTGTATATCACATCAGCATTTTGATTTTCTTCTAATGCCTCAGTGACTTTGTCGTAGTGCTCAAGTAGCTATGAGAGGCACGATCTTCCCGCTCGAAATCCATGTTGGCCTGGGTTGTGAAGGTCATTGGTCTCCATGAAATTGGTGACCTGACTCCTAATCACTCTCTCAAATACTTTTATGATGTGCGATGTTAGTGCAACTGGTCTATAATTCTTTGCCAATGCTTTGCTCCCTCCCTTGTGTAGAGGGGCTATGTCTGCTACTTTAAGTGCATCTGGTATCTCCCCCGTGTCCAAGCTCTTCCTCCACACTATACTGAGTGCCTGTGCTACCGGCACTTTGCATTTCTTTATAAATATTGAATTCCATGAGTCTGGACCTGGGGCCGAGTGCATGGGCATGTTTTCAATTTCTCTTTCAAAATTTAGTGCGCTCGTGTTTATATCAGTTATATTTACAGGGGTTTGAATATCCCGCATAAAGAAATTGTCTGGATCTTCCACCTTCATGTTGTTTATTGGAGTGCTAAACATGTCCTCATACTGCTCATATTCACCACCTATTAATTCTAACCAAACCCTATTTTATCAAATAGAATAACTAACAAAATACAATTATTATGCTGGAAGAAAATACTAATGGGCATTTATGGAGAATTGGTAAGTCTCTCTAAAATGCTTCTCAATCCCTTCTCCAATGCTAAGGATTGTAACTGAACAGAACCCTTCATAAAGTCAGATATTTATTGAATTTAATGAAATGCAACTTTTTATGTGGCACATCAGTAGCTCTATGGAGTTTACGGCACTGACACACAACTGTACTAGAACATCAGACTCCAGAGACTTTCTCAATCAACCACAAGGACCTGGATTGTACATGAATTTACAGGGAGTTCTGCTCTCCAAGCCTGGGGCTAAACTTGACTTGTGAGAGTCTGTTCCAAACAGCCAGCAGGCCCACACTACAGCCTGATTGGTCTGCCACTCCTTGCAGAAAACTATCACGTTTTTTCTTCAAGACTTCTACCTTTGTTTTGGCAATATTCTTAATTTTGCTGGGAGGATACTGAACAAACGTGGACCTCTGATGTTCATGCAGTGTTCTCTGATTGTGCCTATGGTACCTCTAATCTTCATTGGCTCTATTCTTCATTTTCTTCCTTATCGCTCAACTTCAGTATGTTGTCATTTTACTGTGCAAATACGGCACTGGCCCTTCAGTATTTTCCATATATATACAGTATTTTACTTCTCTCATCTCCTTTCTAGAGAGTACATTTTGAGAGCTTTGAGACGATCCAATAATTCTGATGCTTTATTGTGTCTATACATACCGTATATGTTCTCCGAATTCGCTCTATTTTACCAATCTTTCCTGATCTGAAGGGGAAAGTGAGTACTGAACAGTACTCAAGGTGGGACAGCACAAGTGACTTGAAAAATATGAGCACTGTGATGGGATGCTTGGATTTAAAGATGCTTCTAATCCATCCTATCATTTTTCTAGGTGATGCTGTATTTGCTGGCTCCTTCAGAAAGGTGTCAGGAATGTGTGCGATTCAGAAATCAACCTTACAGCCAGAATGAACTGAGCAGAAAGGCAAAGGCATCACAAAAGAAATGAAAGACATAGTTAAACAACCCAAACCATTAAACAGGAAAACAGCACCCCATCAACTCTTATGTTCACCACCAGGTAGCAGCACTGTTCAATTAAATAGTTGATCAATTGACTGACTGCTTGACTGAGTAGCTGACTGGATTGACTGCAATGACTGACTTTAAGAACTGACTGTTTGAATGATTGACTGGTTTGGAGGATACACAAATATTACATAATATGTGGACCATGCAAACACACCTAGACGAGTCCTGCTTCCCCAGATATTTACTTGTGAGAGCTAGTGTTGATCAATGCTTGAAAAGATGTGGTGGTGGTGGTGATTGAGGGGAGAGGGGGGGGGGAAGAGTGCCACTTAAATCAACTTGTCTGACTGTGTATTTCTAACAGTATGTTTGTCTAAGAGTGAGAGACTGACACATAGCTGAGGTAGACATTTCCAACTGCCACCAGATTTAGAGGCAGCAGCATGCTAGCTCTAATAATGGACTTATCATGCGTTTGAAATATTTAAAATGTATTTATGCTGCTATTATGTTAATAAACAATACTACACTATAATGATCCCATTTAATTATTGGCAGAAATTCATCCTCAGTGCTAGATGAAGTATGAGTATATACTACACAATATTTTGTGCAAATATATCATACAGTGAACAGGGGGGACATAACATGCCAGCTCAAAAAATAAAACTGCCAAAAAAGATCTGAATATTGTGCAGATATTTTATTCACACCATAATTTAACCATACTGTATAGCTGAATGAGAATACATTCGTGCCTAGTCATATTGTCTGGCATCATGGGGCCCAGTGTGATGAATAATAGATTAGTCATGACAGCCTTTGTTTAGAGGTGTTCACATTATCTCACATGCTACAGTGTGCCAGCTAGTGGCCATATGCCTGAAATTTACATTAATAGATTTGTCATTAGAACATTAACATTGGCACAATGAGTAATAACAAATGTTGATATTTCTCTCATTGTTCCATATTTAAATTGTAACAAAACACTTACTTGTGGAATGGGTTGATGAGATGCAAGAGGAACAACATAAAAGTCCTTCACCGATTTCTCACAGTTCCCAATAACAGCATACCTGAAAGTCAAAATAAAATTGATATAATACACCTGTACAGTACAGAAAATGCACTCAAAACATATTTATTTACAAACCATTTTAGTGCTAACCACTAAATATAATGAAACCTCAGTCAGAAGGTATCCCTAAAATGTTAGTCATGCAAGATGATCTGTTTACTGAACAATACTTACACGAGTAAGCACTTTTAACTTAACTTTTAGAGTGCAGAAGAAAATTAATGTTATTTATTTAATATGGATATTAAGTACTAATTCTGAGGTCTACCATGTCTCATCAATAGTCAGGCTTCTACACACCCTACATTATATTTTTTTTTTTACAAATGTTCTGGCATATATTTATACATTATTGCAAATGCAACATCCTGGACTACATTGTGTGTGTTGCAGATGAGACATTAAATACTAATATTAAACTAGGCATTTTGTCAAGTAAAGATACTGTAGAGACAATGAAAAAACAAGAGTCAAAAGAAAAAAAATTATAAGCTGAGAAAAGCTCACCAGAATGATTAAGCCGTGAAGCACTTGGTAGCATGCCCTAAACAATGGAGACCAGTGACTTGTACATGAACTCATATATACACACATTCAACAGGTACTTCTGCTAGAATAAAATCTACTTTCTTGGAATGCTGATTGTTATGGGAGTTTTTACCCCCCTGTCCCAATAAATACAGGGGAGGGGGATGCAACATATATAAGTAGCTTAACACTATCGCTCTCTTTGGACACTTATCATGTCCATTTTTTTTCTCCTGAGTCATAGCTTTGGACAGGACTTGCGTCCACTACAAAAATATTTGTATAAAATTCATTTTCTATCCGATCGACCTCGGGATAGTTTCAAATTAAGTGCCATTAGAATGCGCACAATTTGATGCCAAAATGAAAGATGTAACATAAAACTTGATGCCCGACCACTTATATGATTATAAATAGGTTTTTGGTCAAAATTTTAAAATATTTGTTAAAATTCTACTTATTGCGCTATTATGTTGGGACTAGTTTTAAATTGCACGCCTTTACGTCGCGAACAATTTGATACCAAAATGAAAGATGTAACACAAAAATTTATATCAGAACACTGGAAAGATATAAATAATTTTGTGATGATGAGCTTCCAGAATTAAAATATTTGTTAAAATTCCAGTTATTGCTCTATTATTATGGGACTAGTTTTAAAATACGCGCCTTTTTATTGCGAACAATTTGATACCAAAATAAAAGACGTAACACGAAAATTGATGTTATCAAAATGAACGAGTATACACATTAGGTTGCAGTGTACAAATTAGTGCTCGTTTACGAGTAACTTTAGGCTTTCCTGCGGAGAGGCACGCCAGGCTTTTGTACATTATATTCGTATACACCTATAGGGAATTTAAGTTAATTAATTAACATTTTCGCTCAGCGACGACTCAGCATTGAGTTTTCCGTAAAACAGGGGCAAGTCCGGTGAGGACTCGGCATTGAGCCCTCCGTGCAGCAACAGTAGCGGCGTTTTCGGGAAGATTTTGTTCCAGTTTTGGATATTATATGAATATACACATGTAGGTAATTTCATTGCGAATACATTGATACCAAAATGAAAGACCTAGGACCAGAAAAGCTGAAAAAAGTACACTTTTCAGAATTACCGCGCCCTCTAATGTAATAAGAGGCGCTTGGGGTGGCGCAGCGCTCTCTTTCTGGTAACTGCGGCCTATTTTCATCACGTCGGCGGGTGGAGATTGCTGCTGTTTTTTACATTATATGCATATACTTCTGTTGGGAATTCTATTGCGAACACATTGATACCAAAATGAAAGACCTAGCACGAGAATTGAGTTGACAAAACTGAAAAGTGTAAACATTTTATCCCTCTTGTGCGCTCTTGGGTAACTTTCTCTCACTTCCTCTGTTAGTTGCGGATGGTAAACCGGGCTTTTGGAGTATATATGCATTTAGTCTTGTAGAGAATTCTATTGCGAACACGTTGATACCAAATTGAAAATCTTAGGAGGAGAAATGAGCTGACAAAGTTGAAAAAAGTATACACTTTTCAGAATTTACCACGCTCTCCCTCGCGCTCTCGTGAAACGCCCAAGCTCGCCTGGGATAGCGGAGAGGTCGCGCACCCGGTGAGCGAAAGTGTTAATTGCGAACACAATGATACCAAAATGAGCGACGTAGCATGAGAATTAAGGTGATAAAACTGAAACGAGTATACACATTTTACTGATTTTGTGCACTCACAGGTAACTTTCCCGACTTTAGGCTTTGCTGTGGGGGAGTCTCGCCAGGCTTTTGGACATTATATACATATACATCTGCAGGGAATTTAATTGCGAACACAATGATACCAAAATGAACGACGTAGCACGAGAATTAAGGTGAGAAAACTGAAACGCGTATATACATTTAGGCGTCGCCGCACGCTTGCCCGCACCATTGGCCCCATGACGTCAAAGTCTGCAGCGCTCTCGTGGGGCGCGCGAGTGTTAATACAATAGGTATAGGGAGTGCAATGAGTACAATGAGTGCAGTGATCACAAGGCATGCAATGAGTATGGGGGGATATACTATAGTGAGTAAAAAGAGCAAAATTAAATCTTCTGCCACCATCTGATAGCTCACCTTTTTTTTGAGGACAAGTAAGAGTACAAAGCTATGTATGAAACCTTTTCTTCTTCATTTGCTGGTTGAAATCGAACCACCAGGATTTCCTGTAACAAAACAAACATTAGAAGAGAGGATCACCTACCAGCACCCACATACAGTGCTTTTAGAGTGGTTTTAGGGCCCACATACACCATATGTCTACCAAGATGCATGTGGATCATGTCTCTTTCAGGGCCCACATACACCATATGTGTATCAGGATGCATGTGGATCATGTCTCCTTCAGGGCCCACATACACTATATGTCTACCAGGATGCATGTGGGTCATGTCTCCTTCAGGGCCCACATACACCATATGTGTATCAGGATGCATGTGGATCATGTCTCCTTCAGGGCCCACATACACCATATGTCTATCAGGATGCATATGGATCACATGTCTGCATTTATCTGCTGTGGCTGACATATAGGCACCAATTGTTTAAGAAAACCAATGATATCCTTCTCAATCCATCATTTTCGGTCACCATTTTATAAAGTGGACATAAATTTACTTGATCATATCTAGACTAGGATGACAAAGTTCATTTCTGGAATTAAAATCCTTCTATGTGAAGATATTAAAAAAGATTAATTTAATTCTCTAGAAAGGAAAAGAATAAGTGGTGCTATGATTGATGTACAGTAGAAATGAAAGTTAAAACAAAGGGAATATAAGTAACGTTTTAAAAGTATCATCTCAAAACAGATACCAAAACAATGAATACAAGCTGGAAAAATTTAGATTCAAGACAAACCTGGGTAGATACTATTTTGGAAACAGGGTTGTTGATTTATGGAACAAATTATCGGGGAACAATACATTAGGGGTTTGCTAGAATCTTTCACGTATAGATTAAGTGTCAGTTCGACATATATAAGAGTTAGGGTAGATATAAATAGGAGAGGCCTCATATGGGTCAATAGGCCTTCTGGAGTTTCCTTGATTCCCATGTTCTTATGCTCTCTATATCTAGCTATTTCAGATAAGAAGGATGATCTAAGTATATATCTTCAACAGTGTCAATAGCTGTCAAAACTTCAGGGTAATGCTAAGCCTAAAGCCAACTTCCTCTATGATTAAATCAGTCTCAGGAAGTCCAGTTGCACAGCTATAAACAGCACAACTTACTTTAGACCCACTCTTCTTCATTTGTGCAATGTAGCTCCAAACGGTGTCTGGTGCAATGCGGCCAACAACTTCCACTGAATTTGGCACATCATCTGGGAGAAACTTGGCCTTACCAGATACCTGAAAATAAATACATTACAGTGTCATTAGATAAACAAGGCTAGAGATCAATGACTTAAAAGATACCTTACTACAATTATTGTAAACAAATTCTTCTGAAGGAAAAAAATTGTGTTTAAACCACAGAGGGTTGCCTGAACAATACTCAATCCTTCTCTTTTAGTGTTAGAAACCAGCATTGAATGTAACGAAATGCCATTTTCTGGGAGAGCCCTGGAGGCTTCCTTATTTATACAGATGGGTCTCGCATCATCATGAGCAACGTACCCTCGGTCACTAGCTCTGTATGGATACCGAAATACCATCTCAAGCAGGGATGGCGATTACCAAACCAACTATCTATTTTCACAGAGTAATTATATGCCTTATATCAAGCTCTCCAAATCATCACAACATTACCAGTTGGGATACATACAATCTGTAGTGACTCCAAGAGCGCGATTCAAGCAATTACGTACTCTTCAAAAACGTGCAAGGAAATTGTCTACCCATGCCTTCAACTTCTTCACAAACATCAATTGAACGGTTATGACACCTCTATCCAATGGGTCCCAGCACATTGTGGTATTCTCCATAATAAACTTGTAGACCAACTAGCCAAAGCGATGCACAACACGCCTCACCTTACCCGTCATCCAATTCCCCATGTTGTACGTAAAGGAGCCTTCAAAGATACCATTTCCCAGGATTTTGCAACAAACTGGAAAACGTTATGCTCACCTTTGCACTATGGGTCCATTAAAAAGAAATGGGAAACTTGGAAACATGTCCGATATAAAAGCAGAGAAATTGATGTAACGACGACCAGATTAAGGCTGGGACACACCAAACTAGCAGCACACAGCTCTAAGTACAGAACAGACATCAATGAACTCTGTATTCACGGTCAGGTGCCTGAAACAGTTGAACACTATCTCCTGCACTGCTTCCGACATAATAGTGCCAGAGAAAATTTCAAACACATCTTTATCGCACTTAAAAAACCCTTTACCATCGAGCATATATTAGGAGGCGGTGACCACGCGTTACAAGAAAAATACCAAATAAGCAAAGCATTGGCTCAATATCTCCAGTCGACCAACAAATTGGGTCACATCTGACCCGCGCCACATTTATACCTGGCGCCACCAACAGCTAAACACAGAAAACAACTGCCTCATCGCAACACCATGGATCAGCTGACGCTATAAACGCAACACACCGCCCTACGGTGCGGCAAGTCTCCCTCTAACACACACCTCTGTTTTAATCACTGTTCCTCTATCTGCAGAACAACACAAGCACCTTGGTAGCTCCGATCATCCTCAACATAAACGCGTCCACCAACATCTGTACTGGTGCAGTCATCGGGAGGACAAACCCTTCATGCAAACTGCACCTCAGAGAGGCGCAAGGAGCAATGACCTTAACATTTAAAGTATGTCATAATTGCCATCGAACTAGAAAGGACCCAGAAAGGTGGGCGAATAAAAACAGACAACTGTCTGGTTAACCCTGTATAATCTACATTCAAAAAATCAAAATAACTCCCCTAGAAAGACACCAAACAAGCAACCCTTCATGCGACAAGCACTTCCGCTCATTAGTGCTACCCCCTCCCCCTCTGCCAGGGCGGAGAGGGGAGCTGGCAGCCCACCACACCAGTTCTTGAACGATAAAAAAAATGCCGACCAGAGGGAGGGAGGGTGTCAGGAAGCCTCCGGGGCTCACCCAGAAAATGGCTTTTCATTACATTCAATGCTGGTTTTTTGTCAGGGAAACCCCATCGGCTCCCTGAAGCTAACTACCCAAAGATAAGTAAAATGAGGGACTTACCCGGGAGGTGGCAGTACCGCAGGTCTCAAGACGAAGACGAGACAGATGGCTGCGACAGGCGCCCCAAAGTTCCACCCGGCCGGGAAGGAACCGGAATGTTCACTAGATACCCCTGCGGCCATGACCTTGTTCAACCTCCAAAACCCTTATGTCTAAATGTCTACCAAAGACATGTTGCCAAAAACCATACATACATTCAAATGTCATAGGCACGAGGGTAGACCATAGGCTGGCTGGACCTGATGACACTGTGAACAACCCGAGACATACGAGCCCTAGAACAAGGAACCAGGGATACTGGATCCATCCATCTAAACAGTGCCCACCGTCACAAAACCAGTGGCTCGCAGGCAGTAACGAAAACTCGCCACAAGACACAACACATGATGCACAATGCCCCCAGCTGTACTGGTGAGCACTGGTTACAAAGCCCCAACCAAGAGATAAGGCAGCCATGAACACACAAAGCGAGGTAAGAGGAAGGTGCCATGGCATCGAACCCCGAAAAACCCGAAGAGGAAATTGGCGATGCAGCCACCGACGCAAGGACACTGGGGAATGAACTCGGTGATTGCAAAAGTGGCGAAAGAGGTCGCTCCAAAGATACCAGAACAACCTCTGAAGCCAAACCCCTGCACAGCAGATAAACCAGGAGGGCAAAGTTCAAGCTCCTGCACAACTTGCTTGAGGGGGACCCTGGTCCCCCTCGAAAACAGCTGAAGAGACCAACACTGGAGCAAAGCCGCAGGAGGGAGAGAAATGGACACAGTCCGAGAACCCCACACTAGGTCAGCCAACCCCAAACTCAGGATGGAACCAACTGGGACTTCCATCTTACCAGGAACTGGAATGGGAAAGCTGGGAAAGAACCAGAACCCTAGCAAGCAGACAAGCAGACCAGTAGGGCGCTCACACCAACCAGTCGTCCAGGCAGGCTGCCAGCCAGGAAGACACCAGAACCTCGAAACACACCCGTTCAGTACAAGAGGAACCGAACTCGAACAAAACCAGATCCAACACAGAGGCGTAACTGGGTGTCGCAGGAGGTACACGCCAAGGGCCTCCCAGGCATCCGCAAGGAGAAGCCGCGTGGAAGAAAACCTCCGAAAGACGAATCCGAGGAACCCAAGGGAATCCGGAAACAAACCTGGGGGGGTGTGGGGGGGGTGTGGGGGGGGGGCGGAGGAACCCTATCTACCGCATTTGCCGGCAGATAAGACGCACAATGTTAATGATTTTTTTATATGTATAAAAAAACAGTGTTGAATGTAATGAAATGCCATTTTCTGGGTGAGCCCCGGAGGTTCCTTGACTGACATGTGCCATATTAGTTTGGTGCCATCTGCCCCTGGAGTTCTAGTGCCTACCAGAGACCAGAGTCAGAACCTTGTCTCCTCAGAGAGGCACAGGGAGATATGGCTATTGTGAGCATTCTACATTTAGAATATGTCATGTCTGCCATCAACCAGGGAGGGCACCCAGAAAGATAGGCAAACCAAAAAAAAAATTCCCAAATGGTAAAAATTGCAACCTACGTCCAAACAGTCAAAGAACTCCAAACAAACAAGCCAGCAAATTTCATCCAACTAGCGCACGCTCGTTAGTGCCCCCCCCCCCTCCCCTGGGGAACCCGCTCAGCCCACCACCCCAAGTTCGTAGAATGGTAATAAACTGCCAACCAGAGTGAGGGACAGAGGAATGGGGGGGAGGGTGTCAGGGAGCTTCCGGGCTCAACCCAGAAAATGGCTGAATTACATTCAACGCTGGTTTTCTGTGGGGAGCCCTGTCGGCTCCTTGAAGCTAACTACCATTTGTGGATTACAATATTAATTGCAGGCGATGAGTCACAATAACGTGGCTGAAGTATGTTGACCAGACCACACACTAGAAGTTGAAGGAACGTCAACTTGAAAATGGTCCAGGACGGACCGAAACGTCGTCGTCCCTTCAACTTCTAGTGTGTGGTCTGGTCAACATACAATATTAATTATTGGACGACTACAATATTAGTCAATTGCATTTTGACACTAATGATGTTTAAACATCACTCTACTATTCAATATTTTACATACTGTATTTTGATATGTTTAATGCACAATTACTTGCGTAGTACTCGATCAAATAATTCCCCCAAATTATGTATCATCAATTAATGTCTTTTGTATCCTTCTAGAAGCATCATACATAATTACTATAATATCATTAAACTAAAATTTGAAAACAAAAATTATTTGATTTACCTCAAAAGCTGATGCCTGAAACTTGGCCACGTCGGGCATGTGTATGATTCCTTTCCATACATTATAAGGCTCGGCAGAAATGGCACCAGGTAACGTCGCTGATGCAACACCTAGTTTTTGGACACCTATAGGAGGTGGAGTTAATCTGTCTGAGTCACTGTTGAAATCAGATAAAAATGATGGTTGTTGTGGTGGCAACAGTGATCCAGAATACGATGATATTAGAGACATACTATCCTTTGGTAAAGGTGGTGTAGTCGAACCTCCCAATTCTGACGTTGGCAGAGCAAAAGGCATGTCCTCAATTGGTGGCGGCGGCGTGTCGGGACAATCTTCATCGGGAAGTGGAGGGGTGCATGGAATATCATCATCTGGGAGAGGAGGAGGAGTACAGGGACTTTCGTCTTCAGGCAGAGGAGGAGCACTTGGAATATCCTCACTAGGAAGAGGTGGAGTTGTGGGAATATAATCAGGAAGCGGAGGGGTGGTAGACCCATCGTATGGCAGTGCATTGGTCATGGATCCTTCTGGCAGAGGTGAAGACTCCAAGGAATCATAAGTGGGCGGAGGTGGGACATACCCTGGAGAGTCAGGTGGGAGTGGGGGCATCACAAGACTCTCAGGAAAAAGTGGCGGTGATTCCGCTCTGACTTCTCTACAGGGTGATGAATAGTCCTTTATCTCATAGATCTCTGGGCTCCTAAAATAAAAGACAAAAGTTTACTTTCAGGGGAATTTTGATTAGTATCATACAATGTCATAATGTATACACACAAATTGACTCAACTGTCCAGTGATGTAAGGTTAAGTTTAAATATTATAAAAAGATTAAAGTGTGATAAAGTGGCAGCAAGTGTGACTTAAAATAATAATAACCAACATCCATCCCTGACATTTGGAAATTGAACTTGGATATGGAAACTGGTAGTGTTCATATTTACAAGTAGTGGACAGAAGCTTCTTTGAGGAGCAGCAGTTGGTTAAGTTTCGGGCTAGGATATAGCAATGATTGAGAATACCAGAGATGAAGTATGAGTAAAAAGCATCAAATATATATATATTTGTTCGTCCATGCGGAGTAACTGTTCTCCTCAGCCTTTGTTCGTCTAACGATCGACATAATTCCATACTATCGGCTGCTAGAGAGTCCATAGTCAGATTTACTGTGCTAAGCAGGATTAAAATGCAGAGAGAGAGAGCGAGAGTAAGAGTGTGTCTTGTGTACCATATAGCATTATACTGTTGAGCTACCTGCATAACTCATAATTCTCAATACAGCATACATGCTGTTTAGTATATATGCTGTATGAAGAATTATGCCAGGGCATTCATTCTGTTGGTGGGTATGGGGGTAGAAGAAATGATTCAAGGGGGTAGAAGAAATGATTCAAGGACTGCCTCAAGGTGACTTTCAAAGACCTGGACATCAACACCAATACTTGGGAGTTGCTTGCTCAGGACCGTCCATCTTGGAAAAGCAAAGTCACCACAGAGGCCCACTGTGCGGAAGAAAATAGACAGACTGCAGAGGCCCAGAGGAGATGTGCTGTGCGCAAAGCTAGTGCAATCTCCTCCTCTGCAGTAGCACCCACCCACAACCTTTGGAGAAAGTTCAGAGGTTTGCCACCAGACTAATACCTGGGATGAGGGGCATGAGCCACAAGGGGAGACTACTGGAACTAAACCTCACCGTCACTGGAAGACAAACGAGTTAGGGGAGACATGATCACCACACACAAGATTCTCAGAGGAATTGATAGGGTAGATAAAGACAGTTTATTTCACAAAATGGGAACACACACACTAGGGGGACACAGGTGGAAATTGAGTGCCCAAATGAGCCGCCATAGAGATATTAGAAAGAACGTTTTTAGTGTCAGAGTAGTTGACAAATGGAATGCATTAGAAATTGATGTGGGTGGTGGCAGACCCCATACTCATGGTTCCTTCACTGACATGGATGAAATTTTTGTTTAACTAACAGACAGACGAGGGCAGTAATCAGAAGCAATGTACTGTATCTGACTGGAGGAGTGTTACTAACGGAGTACCACAGGGTTCATTCGTGCACCAGTAATGTTCATCGTCTACATAAACGATCTAGCCACTGGAATACATAATTATATGAACATGTTTACGGATGATGCAAAGATACTGGGAAGATAGGAGATGCAGATGATTGTAATGTCCTTCAAATTGATCTAGATAAAATAAGTGCTAGAAGCGACAAGTGTAAATGGAATTCAACATGAATAAATGCCATGTTATGGAAATGTGGAATCATAGAAAATAGACCTCACACAACTTGCAAATTATGTGGAAAGAAATTACAGATCTCTAATAAAGAACGAGACCTGGGGTAGTTTTGGCTAGTAAGCTGTTGCCAGAGGAACACAAAGAACATTGTGAGAGGAGCGTATGCACCGCCTTTCAACATCAGGCAGATTTTTAATTACTGTATATGGATATTGAAATATTAAAGAAACTGTTCATGACTTGTGAGATCCAAATTGGAATATGCAGCAGTTGTATGGTGCCCGTATCTCAAAAAACACATTAATAAACTGGAAAAGGTGCAACTCATGCTACAAAATGGCTTCCTGAACTGAAAAACAAGAGTTACAAGAGATTGGAGGCATTAACCATGCCAGAACTAGAAGATAGAAGAACAAGAGGAGATATGATCACCACTTACAAAATACTAACAGGAATTGACCGAATTGACAAAGAGGAATTCATGAAACCAGCAACCTAACGAACAAGAGGACACAGATTAAAGTTAAAAAAAACAGAGGTGCCGAAAAAATATTATAAAATTTTCTTTTGCAAACGGAGTGGCAAACAGTTGGAACTAATGGAGTGAGGTGGTGGTGGTGGCCAAAACCAGCAGTACTGCAGTTTCAAAGCTTTATATGACAAATAGTGCTGGGAAGACAGGACACCACGAGTGTAGCTCTCATCCTGTAACTACACTTATGTAATTACCAGTTGATTGACAGTTGAAAGGCAGTACCAAAGAGCCAAAGCATCAACCCTTTCAAGCACAACTAAGTGAATACAAATGTTCCGTGAGTGGCCTTCTGGACCCAGATTGGTCTCATCTTCCATCATCTGGCAAACAGCCACTGACTTTCGACCTGATATGTTGAAGTCATCGTCGTCATCGCATCCAAAGGACGAACATCATCAAATATACATAGGTGAAAGAAGGGAATCATATGTGTAAGGAAGATGCTCCGAATTTTGGAAGTGAAAATGGGAGGGAGGGAGGGATTAGAGAGCTTGAGAGAGCTAAGGAAGAGCTACCAGGATGATTTACGGTTAAAGACTCACAGAAGCTAATAAAATATTTATTATTAAATTGTATGTCTAAACAAGATAAAAGAACTAGACCTAAACCTAATTAATCTGCCCATATTTATAATTGTATTACTCTGTTTCTCTGTTGTGTTGGTACTGTTCACAGTATTTACAAAAAAAAATTATCAATTGGCCAGCAGCGCAGGTGGGTATGGAGGTTAATATCAGACCCCAACAGAGAGAGAGAAGACTGCTCAATATTTTTTTTTCTGTACTTACCCAATTACCGTGGAAGTTGGTTCAGCATCTTTGGCATCCGAGTCCAGGTGTGAAGACAAATGCTTCTCTGTAGAATATGGATCAAATACCACATCTTCACTCGTGCTCACTACTTCTTCTTTTTGTTTCTCATCTTCACAACTCTCTTTTCTCTTTGAACTCTCTTTTATACTTTCTCTTCTCTTCTTATCTTCACTTCGAGATTCGCTGTATTTACGCTTTCTTTCACTTTTTTCACTACTATCTCGTCTTTTTCGCTCTCTATCATCCTTCGAGTCCCTCCTGTCCTTATGTCTCTCTCTGTGTTTCTTATCTCGATCATCTTTTTTGTCTCTAGAATCTCTTCTTTCCTTATCTTTCTTCTCTTTATCAGTGCTAGTCTTGTATCTCTCCCCATCTTTACTGTTTCGGTGCTTGTCTCGACTCTTATCTTTATCTCTGTCACTAGAATGTTCATCTTTATGTATTTCTTTATATTTAGATTTCTCTTTCTCTCTCTCCTTATCCCTGTTATCTTTGTCCTTCTCCTTATCCCTCGTGTCTTTATCTTTCTCTTTATCCCTGCTGTCTTTGTCTTTCTCTTTATCCCTATTGTCTCTTTCTTTCTCTTTATCTCTGTTCTTTTCATCTCGTGACCTTCTGTCCTTGTCACTTTCTTTACTTTTATGGCGGTGACGCTCTCTGTCCGTAGAGTCTCTCCTCTCCCTGCGGTCCTTGTCCGAGGAGCTCTTCCTCTCTTTCCTCTCCTTTACTTTCTCTGCTTCTTTTTGCTTGCTGTCTTTTGTATCTTTTTTAGCCTTCTCTTCACTTTTATCATTTTGAGATTTCTGAGGAGAAAAAAAAGTTTTTTTAAATATACACAAGAAAAATATAGCCAGTACTGACAGTAAAAGCTACCAATTAAATGTTCAATAAATGAATAATAAACAGACTACACTAATGGAACGTAGCAAAACTAGATTTGGTTAAATTATGTTATGAAAAATAAAAACGACTACAACACTATTCACTCAGTCTCTCTCACACACTCATTCTCTCATTCACCCCTTACAAACTTTAAAGAAACTAAAAACTTATTTAAGAAATTCCAGTGAAAGGAAATATTACCTGTGCTGACACTAACGTCACTTCTTATTTTTTTTTGTATTTCCCATTTTGTAAAATATTGCCAAAGGTGGGAAAATGTTGCTGATTGGACCACCAACCAGGAGGTCTGGTCAGAGACCGGGCCATGGATACATGCAATCATCAACATGATAAGTATTTAGCTAGTAGTTAACCCTTAAGTTGCGCATTGCATCATATGATACTTTGGAGTACTACGCAAGATTTAAATGACCCGCGGATACACGGGGTTCACCACACCTTCATCAGGGCTCTTACAGACAGACGCCATTTTTTTTTTAAATCGTGGGCCAAATTCCCGGGTGTTAGGGGCCTCAGAATTGAGTGAGCTACCAAGTCTGACGCACACAGCATGAGCTCACAGCAATGCTGTTCAGCTTGTGACCACAGCATCGAATAAAAATGCCATAATATACTTGTTCATGCTATTATGTAGCGATGATATAATTACAGAAGACCCCTGACTGTGATAAAACTGACCAGGGTTCTGATAATAGCAGGATTGTGGTGATATTTAGCGCTGTGCTCCATGGGAGCACCATGTGCTCCATATGCTGCAGGGAGCCGGTCGGTTGAGTGGATAGCACACTGGACTTGTGATCCTGTGGTCCTGGGTTTGATCCCGGGCGCCGGCAAGAAACAATGTGCAGAGTTTCTTTCACCCTATGCCCCTGTTACCTAGCAGTAAAATAGGTACCTGGGTGTTATTCAGCTGTTACGGGCTGCTTCCTGGGGGTGGAGGCCTGGTTGAGGACCGGGGCGCGGGGACACTAAAGCTCCTTAATCATCTCAAGATAACCTCAAGATCTCAAGATGGAGGGAGGAGTAATGCTGTGGAAGGGAGGGTGGTGGCGATGTCTTTTGACTGTGTGTGGCCACCTTTTATTGACTGCACTCACCATACCAGCTTAGTGGTTCGCTATGGTGAACACAAATGTAGATACTTATATATAACGTGTGTATAGAGGGTATAAACAGCATTAGGAGTAGGTTGGGAACCGCCATTTTGGTGAGGGAGGTGGCGTCGTCTGCACGACTTATCATGTTGTTTACTGGTGACCACTATGGTCTTTGGGACCCATACCAGTTTACTTGTACAAGCATGGTGAATAAAACAGGTAGATACTTATATATAATGTGTGTATATAGCATAATAACACCACAAACAGTATTGTTTTAGGAGAAATATTAGTGCGACTGGCCTTGAGGCTGGCCGCCACCAGCTGACTGTGTGAGTAGCTACGTCTTTGTGCCTTTACTCACCATACAAGCTTAGATGTACAGTTATGGTGAACAAAACATGTAAATACTTATATATAACGTCTGTATATAAAAGCAAAAACAGTATGATGGGAGGGGAATGGTAGCAAGTCAGGTGAGGTGAGGGAGGGAGTGGCAGCCAGTGGCAGGCTGCCACTGCCACTCAGCATACCAACTTAGTGGTTCGTTATGGTGAACACGAATGTATGTACTTGTATATAGCTTCTGTATATAGTGAATAGAAGCAAAAACAGTATTGTGGGAGGAGAATGTGGGCGAGTGAGGTGTTGAGGGAGTGGCTGGCTGGCTGGTGTGTGGCGGTCACTCCTCGTTACTTTTTGACTCATAATATCAACTTAGTGGTTCGTTATGGTGAACAAAACCTGCAGATATTTATATATAACCTGTGTATATAGTGTAATAACCGACAAAGTATTTGTTCACTGTTTGATGAACATAATTGAATCAACAATATGCACACTATATTTTTGAGTACAGTGATGATTCACTCAATTTATTATATAAATACAGTGGTACCTCGGAATGCGAGTGTCCCTGTATGCGAGTTTTTCGGAAGACGAGCAGGATTTCCTCGGAAAATATGTATCGGAAGGCGAGGGTTACCTCGGAACGCAAGTTTGTTGATACGTGTACAGGCCGACTGGCGCGTGGTGGCATGGCGATCGCGCCTCAGTTTACCAGTGTCTCGTGTCCAGTGACTATCCCACCTGAATTCTTCACAAGGATTTACAGTTTTTTATCGTTTTTTTGGCCATTTGAGCATAAAAGTTGTCATTATATATCTTGACAATGGGTCTCAAGAAAGCCATTGGTAAGGTTCAACCTAAGAAAATAGCTGTGAGTAGAGGCAGTAGAGGATGTCCCTTCTTGATTAAGAAAATGTGTGAAGTATGGGAAGAACTGCAAAGTTTTGTTGAAAAAACTCACCCAGATAAAGCTGTAGCAGGCCGTTGCATTGACCTTTTAAATGATAATGTGATGTCTTACTACAGACAAGTGTTAAAATGTAGGGAAAAACAAGTGTCATTAGACAAATTTTTAGTAAAACAAGCAAGTCCTAGTGGTATGCAGGCAAAATGTGCCAGAGTGTGCATACCAGTGAAGTCCTCACTGCCTGATGTGATAATGGAAGGGGACTCCCCTTCCAAACAGTAACTCCTCTCTTCCTCCCACCTCCTCACCATCTTCCATACGCCTACAGCATTCAACAGCAAGGTAAGTAATAACTTGAACATAGTTTTGTAGGTTTATTTAGATGAATTAGGTATAAAAATTTAGTTTGATGTGGGGTTTTTGGGGTAGTCAGGAACGGATTAATTCATTTCCCTTTATTTCTTAGGGGAAATTAGCTTCGGAATGCGAGTTTTCGGAATACGAGGCGTCTCCAGGAACCAATTAAACTCTTAAACTGAGGTATGCCTGTACATCACACTACACACTATTGAATAATATTACAGCAAAAAAACTACGAAAAATCAATCAGAGACATTGAAATAATTAGGTAATTATCTCTTTGTGGCAACTCCTGCCTGACAGCTGGCGAGCAACAGACAGTCTGGGACGCACGCTAAGCCAGCGCCTGTTTTTTGCCAAATTTCCCCGCCCTATAGCGGGCAATATATGCCACTTACTATTTTTTAATTTTTTTTCACATGATCAGTGAACACAAATTGACAGGTTTAGAAGAAAAAATATATATATATATTTTTTTGGGTATGCGCCTGTGAGTGACACATGCTAAATAGCCAGGCACCATACAAGAGTTAAAGGTAACCCATCATAAAAATTATTGTTGTTTGTTGTATCGTGAATCAATTTATTTATGCTCTCATAGCACGGATATTTATTTTTCTTTCTCATTTGCTGCTGCGTGCAAGTTTTACCAAAGCAGCAGCAAAAGTATTTGCTGCTGCTTCAGTTTTTTATTTTGAAAATGTATATGATAAAAATATAGGAATTTTTTTTAATTCACTGTATTTGATGTTTTCTGTTATTTACTTTATGATTTAATAAATTGTGCAAAATTAAATCAATACTGTATTTGTTCTTATATCATGGATAGCAGAGGTTTAGAACTGCTGTTTGTTTACACAAACACCCCTTCCCCATATTGTTTCAACAGGTTCTTGCACACGGAAAATCTCATGATAAACAATGACTGGACAAATACACTCATTCTTTCACTGATACATCACAATGTGATTTTCTGTGTGCATTTGAAGAGAAGAGTTTGAGATGAATTCCTAGACCACACCCAGAGTGCATAGGGACATTGTGTGAAAATCCTGACTTGGCTTCAGTTGAAGCCAAGGTTGCATTGCTTTTGATCACATCATGGTGTAGTGATCCTAGATGTGTGGTTGGGAGTACCTAGAACATAGGTTCAAATCCTTCTCATGGCTCCTACTGATTTTCTCAAAGGACTGAACAAGGAACGGTCCTTGATGAAACGAAAACTCATACAGAGAAAGAGAAAAAGGCAGAGTAATACAATCGCTCCAAAATAACAGAAGGTACACCAACATACAGACACCATTTTATTATACTCTATTTACAGTACCAGTTCTTTTTTTTTTTTTAGAACTTTTGCTCTTAATTTTTGTCAGCTTTTAGAGTTGGGATCGGCTAAAGTTACTTAAGCTACACTGACTTTCGAGTATTTTATAGCACCACGACATGTGTGTAGATATGCCTAATTTTTAAGATATTCAAGGTATCCACCTTCTGAGGATTTTTTTACTTATTCTAAAAACTACCAATGAATTACATAGTCCAATAATAATAATAGGAATCTTCTTTGAGCCATGATACAAAAGTCTTTAACCCTTGTATGGCACCTGGCTAATTAGCATGTGTCACTCACAGGCGCATACCAAAAAAATATAAAAATATAAAAATATAAAAATAAATATATATATATATATATATATATATATTTTATTTTTATATTTTTATATTTTTATATTTTCCTGAATTAATGTATTTTCTCTATTTTTTTTCTTATGAAATGATAAAGCTACCCATTTCATTATGTATGAGGCCAATTTTATTTTATTCGAGTTAAAATTAACATAGATATATGACCGAACCTAACCAACCCTACCTAACCTAACCTAACCTATCTTTAGAGAATAGGTTACGTTAGCTAGCCGAAAAAGTTAGGTTAGGTTAGGTTAGGTAGGTTAGGTAGTCGAAAAACCATTAATTCATGAAAACTTGGCTTATTAGGCAAATCGGGCCTTGCATAGTAGGCTGAGAAGTGCGTTCTGGCTACTAGGTACGACATATATATATATATATATATATATATATATATATATATATATATATATATATATATATATATATATATATATATATATATATATATATATATATATATATATATATATATATATATATATATATATATATATATATATATATATATATATATATATATATATATATATATATATATATATATATGTCGTACCTAGTAGCCAGAACTCACTTCTCAGCCTACTATGCAAGGCCCGATTTGCCTAATAATCCTAGTTTTCATGAATTAATGTTTTTTCGACAACCTAACCTACCTAACCTAACCTAACCTAACGTTTTCGGCTACCTAACCTAACCTAACCTATAAAGATAGGTTAGGTTAGGTTAGGTAGGGTTGGTTAGGTTCGGTCATATATCTACGTTAATTTTAACTCCAATTAAAAAAAATTGACCTCATACATAATGAAATGGGTAGCTTTATCATTTCATAAGAAAAAAATTAGAGAAAATATAATAATTCAGTAAAACTTGGCTTATTAGGCAAATCGGGCCTCGCATAGTAGGCTGAGAAGTGAGTTCTGGCTACTAGGTACGACATATATATATATATATATATATATATATATATATATATATATATATATATATATATATATATATATATATGTCGTACCTAGTAGCCAGAACTCACTTCTCAGCCTACTATGCAAGGCCCGATTTGCCTAATAAGCCAAGTTTTCATGAATTAATGTTTTTTCGTCTACCTAACCTAACCTAGCTTTTTTTGGCTACCTAACCTAACCTTACCTATATATATAGGTTAGGTTAGGTTAGGTAGGGTTGGTTAGGTTCGGTCATATATCTACGTTAATTTTAACTCCAATAAAAAAAAATTGACCTCATACATAGTGAAAAGGGTAGCTTTATCATTTCAAAAGAAAAAAATTATAGTAAATATATTAATTCAGGAAAACTTGGCTTATTAGGCAAATCGGGCCTTGAATAGTAGGCTGAGAAGTGAGTTCTGGCTACTAAGTACGACATATATATATATATATATATATATATATATATATATATATATATATATATATATATATATATATATATATATATATATATATATTTTTTTTTTTTTCCTTCTAAACCTGTTAATTTGTGTTCACTGATCATGGGAAAAATAATAAAATATCGTAAGTGGCATATATTGCCCGCTATAGGGCGGGGAAGTCTGGCAAAAAACAGGCGCTGACTCAGCGTGTGTCCCAGACAGTCTGTTGCTCACCAGCTGTCAGGCCAGAGTTGCCACAAAGAGATAATTACCTAATTATTTCAATGTCTCTTGATTGATTTTTCGTATTTTTTTTTGCTGTAATATTATTCAATAGTGTGTAGTGTGATGTATTTATATAATAAATTGAGTGAATCATCACTGTACTCAAAAATATGGTGTGCATATTGTTGATTCAATTATGTTCATCAAACAGTGAACAAATACTTTGTCGGTTATTACACTATATACACAGGTTATGTATAAATATCTGCAGGTTTTGTTCACCATAACGAACCACTAAGTTGATATTATGAGTCAAAAAGTAACGAGGAGTGACCGCCACACACCAGCCAGCCAGCCACTCCCTCAACACCTCACTCGCCCACATTCTCCTCCCACAATACTGTTTTTGCTTTTTATTCACTATATACAGACGTTATATGTAAGTATCTACATTCGGGTTCACCATAACGAACCACTAAGTTGGCATGCTGAGTGGCAGTGGCAGTGCCAGTGGCAGCCCACCACTGGCTGCCACTCCCTCCCTCACCTCACCTGACTAGCCACCATTCTCCTCCCACCATACTGTTTTTGCTTTTATATACAGACGTTATATATAAGCATTTACATGTTTCGTTCATCATAACTGTACATCTAAGCTTGTATAGTGAGTAAAGGCACAAAGACGTAGCTACTCACACAGTCAGCTGGTGGCGGTCGCCCTCAAGGCCAGACGCACTAATTTTTCTCCAAATGCAATATTGTTTGTGGTGTTATTACGTCATATACACACATGATATATAAGTATCTACCTGTTTTATTCACCATACTTGTACAAGTAATCTGGTATGGGTCCCAAAGACCATAGTGGTCACCAGTAAACAACATGATAAGTCGTGCAGACGACGCCACCTCCCTCACCAAAATGGCGGTTCCCAACCTACTCCTAATGCTGTTTATACCCACTAAACTATATATAAGTATCTACATTTGTGTTCACCATAGCGAACCACTAAGCTGGTATGGTGAGTGCAGTCAATAAAAGGTGGCCACACAGTCAGAAGACAACGCCACCACCCTCCCTCCCACAGCATTACTCCTCCCTCCATCTTGAGATCTTGAGGTTATCTTGAGATGATTTCGGAGCTTTAGTGTCCCCGCGGCCTGGTCCTCGACCAGGCCTCCACCCCCAGGAAGCAGCCCGTGACACCTGACTAACACCCAGGTACCTATTTTACTGCTAGGTAACAGGGGCATAGGGTGAAAGAAACTCTGCCCATTGTTTCTCGCCGGCACCCGGGATCAAACCCGGGACCACAGGATCACAAGTCCAGTGTGCTGTCCGCTCAGCCAACCGGCTCCCTGGAGCACATGGAGCACAGCGCTAAATATCACCACAATCCTGCTATTATCAGAACCCTGGTCAGTTTTATCACAGTCAGGGGTCTTCTGTAATAATATCATAGCTACATAATAGCATGAACAAGTATGTTATGGCATTTTTAGGCGATGCTGTGGTCACAAGCTGAACAGCAGTGCTGTGAGCTCATGCTGCGTGCGTCAGGATTGGTAACTCACTCAATACTGAGGCCCTTAACACCCGGGAATTTGACCCACGATTTTTTTTTTAAATGGCTTCTGTTTACAAGAGCCCTGATGAAGGTGTGGTGAACCCCGTGTATCCGCGGGCCGTTTAAATCTTGCATAGTACTCCAAAACATCACATGATGCGATGCGTAATTTACTGCAAGTCAGTCAAAGCATCATATGATGCGATGCGCAACTTAAGGGTTAATGTTGCAAGCCTATACGTGCAGGTGTTTCCTAGACATTACACATAAACCAAACTTTTTGACAAAGCCATAAGATATCTCTACTGGGAATACCTAACACTCATAACACCAACTGCAGGGACAAAACAACAATACAAGTTTTATGCAACAAACACTTGCTAAATGCTCCTGCCTGACTGTATTCATAATAACATAAGAGCAAAGGAAAGTGCAGAAGATCTATTGGCCCATATGATGCAGTTTCAAATAATACTCACATAAACTCAGTCATGTGTATGTCTAGCCTGTACTTAACCACCGCACTGCGCACAGCGCCTTAAGGTGCTCTGAGAGTTGTGCTATTTTTGTTTGTTTAATTAGGGTATGTTTTAATGTTATTTAATATTTTCATCACTCTTTGTGTTTTGAAATGAAAATGGTTGAGTTTGGATACATTTTGACATTAACTTTACCTGAACATTTATAAAAACAACAAAATTATGTCCTTAACAATTGCACTATGAAGTTTTTGCTGAAACCAGGTGTGCAGTGCAGTGGTTAATAAAATCCAATAATCCCACTTCTGTGTTACCAGGTAATTAGTTCCATAAATCAACAAACTTCTTTCCAAACCAGCATTTACCCAGGGGCCAGATTCACGAAGCAGTTACACACGTACTTACGAACGTGTACATCTTTCCTCAATCTTCGGCGGCTTTAGTAACATTTGTTAAACAGTTTATAAGCATGAAAACCTCCCAATAAACTGTTCTTATTGTTATAAACAGCCTCCTGGTGCTTTGGCGCTCATTAACTGTTTAATAATTGTAAATAAAGCCGCCAAAGATTCAGAAAAGATGTACAGGTTTGTAAGTGCTTGCGTAACTTCTTTGTGAATCAGGCCCCAGGTCTTTTCTCAACTTAATTTTCTCCAATTTATATCCACCATTTCGATAGCTATTTTACGTTGATGTATTCAAAACCTAATTTATATCCCCTTTCTCTATACCCTTCCATCCTTTTATATACTGCAACCTATATATACTACATATATATATGATGTTACAACAAGCAATGTTAAAAAGACAAGAATAAACTATAATAAAAATTAAATGAAGCTCACCGAAATTTGTCGGATCAATGAATGGTCTTGTTTTCCTGTGCATATTTTGCAATTAAGATCATACATGTGATTTGCATGGCTTAACGTTGTGTCCTCTAGCACTTCTGCCACTGGATCTGCTGGAAGCGAGTTGAGAGTTTCGGGAGCTGTATAAAATAAAGTAAAAGTATTATACTGCATAAATCTCTCACAATGTACAGGCCAGATATGTATTGTATTCTATTGTACAGTATTTAATTCATGCGTCATTATTTATGTACAAATTCACAGCGAAGTTGTTCAAAATAAACATCAAATGTTTTTAGAATTAGAAACAAAATTTAAAAATTGAGAGCAGTGAAACAACACGTTTTGTGCGACAACTCAGTAGCTTCCTGGCGCTTCTGGTCATGACTCTTTAAGGATGCCCCTAACATTAGGCTCTTGAAACATTCTCATGCTACCAGGAGCCAGAACTGATATTTTGCTCCTCTGAATAAGGAAAGAACATGGAAATTAATCACCACTCTGCGCTGCCTTAAAATATGACACCCCTGTGGTGCGCCGAAAAAAAATTCTTTGCAAACAATTATTTTCTCTTCTTATATTGTTAAATTGTAGTCTGATCATGGGAAACTAAACAAAAAATTTGGATGCGATATACTTTAGCTGTGATGGAGCTGAGAAGTTGAGCAAATTATGGGCGCTGAGCGATGAAGCGCTCGGGGGTCACTCAACCCCACAACCCCATGGGGCAACAGTTGCCGTGAATATAATTTTTCAAAAGTATTTTGATGTTTCTCATTTGTTTCTTCTCTGGTTTTTTGCTGTAATATTATTAGAAAGTGTGTAATTTAGGGAATTCATATAGTTCAATGTGTGGAACAGTGCTATGCTCAAAATTATGGGGCTCATATATGTGGCATATATATATTATATTCTATGATCAACTAGTGTTTTGCTGTTATTACGCTACAACACACATTGTATATATCCATCTACACATGTGTTAACCATAATGAACCACTAAGTTGGTATGGTGAACCCAAACAACAAGAGTGGCTGCCACACACTAGCTAGCAGACACCAAACTGTTGATTGACAGTTGAGAGGCGGTGTTACGGTCTCGTCACCTTCGTCAAGAGTGTAGAGTGGCAATTCCAGCGCCATCTGTGGGTCTGCACTCCAACCCCCGATATTGGATGTTATGTGGATAACGCCATCTATTGGTGGTGGATTGGCAGTGACAAATGGCTCCTGTTTCCTGCCTTGGTCAGACAGAGAGGTCATTGTGGATGACCTCTGGTGGTGGGCATATCAAGATCAGCGCCACCTAGGCTGTGCTACAGAGCATAATGTCAACTCCCAGGCAAATGAGTGTTACCTCATGGTTTCCCCAGTGTACCGTTCATTTAACTGATGACATTTTATGTCCACAGAAGTGATGTGTGGAGGCAGTGGTACTGAGGAAGGCAGTTTACCTTGGGCAGTCCATGTACTCTCAACTTGGTCCTGGAAGACGACTAAGTAAGCCGCCGCCAATCTGAGCAGTGTGTTAGCTGCTGATTTACGCAGTTTGGTAGAGATCGGCGTACCCTGGGATTGGCTTAGGAGAGTAACGGATGACAGTGAGATGCCTGTTGTGAAGTGCTGGTAGCCGGTCGCTAGAGGCTTCTGCCAGGGGTTGGCTACCCCTGTATAACCTGTAGGTTGTTTGTGACCCTGATCAGCGTGTGGCGGCTTAAGTCCTCTGCCAGCGAGTAGCTGGAGAGCAATAGTGGGGTGTAGGCACCTCGTGATACTGTGTCAGTGGGCTGGCCCACGTAAAAGGTGAACTCACTAGTGTTTTCCAGTACAAGTGGACAAGGTACTGAACGGTGGAAACACTGGGGGTTGGTTAACACTGCATGTGTGCGCTTTTGGTGTCCTGTGTGAAAGTGACACTTCTGTAAATAAGTGTAGTAATATATTTATTATATATTAACATTGAAAGTGTAAATATATTGGCAAAGAGAACTGTGTGAATTGTTAATTCCCCCTTTCCTTTATTGCACTATATAGCCAATTCGTGAAAGCATACTACCGACTTGGGGTCGGATACTATAATAGAGGTTACAACATCACGAGCCAAGTTACTGGTCCTAAGTGGCTGTAACAAGCGAGACCAAAGAGCCAAAGCTCAACCCCCGCAAGCACAACTAGGTGAGTACCATCTCCTTACCTCCTTCAACACCTCTCACTCGGCAACATTCCTCCTCCCACCATATTGTTATTACACTATATACACACACATTATATATAAGTATCTACATGTTTTGTTCACCATAACTGTACAACTAAGCTGGTATGGTGTCCAAATAACATAGTGGCCACCCTACACAGCATGACAAGTCACACCACCCACCAGACGACACCACCTCCCTCACTAAAATGGCTTCTCTCAACATACTCTTTTTGCTATTATTACACTAATACACACGTTATATATAAGTATCTACATTTGTGTTCACCATAGTGATCCACTTAGCTGGTATGGTGAGTCCAGACAACAAAAGGTCACCACACAGTCAGTAGATGACGCTACCTGCCTCCCTCACCAAGATTATTCCTCCCACCATACTATGCACAGTGCTACTTATCACCACAATCCTGCTATTATCAAGGTCCTGGTCATTTTTATCACAGTCAGGATCTTCTGTAATACTATCATCATTAAATAATAGCAGTTACATATATATTTTGACACTGTTAGGCAATGCTGTGGTCACAAGCTGAACAGCAGTGCTGTTTGCTCATGCTGCGTGCGCCAGCCCTCGTTGCTCACTCAGTACTGAGGCTCACACCCGGGAATGTTGTCCAAGATTTTTTTTTTTGTAAATGGCGTCTGCTTACTAGAGCCCTGAGGAAGTTGATATGAACCTCCGTGTAGCCGAAGAAGTTTTGAATAGCTCTCTATACCTAAAAATGCGACATGGCGCTCTGCTCACCATCGATCTAGCGCCACAAGGCACTCTGTGCAGTGCAGTGGTTAAAGATCAATCTCCAACTGAGGAGAACTGCTTAGAATGTCTATTGCCAAAGCAAAACTATCATTTGATGAGAACGAATGAAAAGGCCAAACAATCTAACTTTTACATGGAATAGGCAACAGCGCCTAACCAAACTCTCAGCCACCGCCACATGCCAACTCAGGTCCCAAGTGGTTTCAGCAGGCAAACTACTACTCACTATCAAGATGCCAGCCCAGCTCTTATCTCAATGAAAAAGAAGGGAGAACGGTACAAGAACAGGGAGCTAATGAGGTTCTTCACAAAAAGTGGTGTTTCATGACACTCAATACTCTATTCTGTGCTGGCCCCATCAGAAGTTCCCAGACATTTTCCCACAGCAGCACCTTGGAGAATATGATTACTATTCTGAAAGACAACACGTTGATAAGAGGACAATGAAAAATGAAAAGAGCATAGTATGGTGGGAGTAGTAATCTTGGTGAGGGAGGGAGGTAGCATCATCTGCTGACTCTGTGTGGCGACCTGTTATAACTGTTGAGAAAAAAATGCCTCGCGAGAAAAGCAAAAAACCAAAAGCCAATAAATGATGTGCCATCCTACCAAGGATACATATATCCACAACGAGGGGTGCAAGAGATCCATATAATAGTGGGCGACCAAGCCAAAGTTGGAGAGGGCAGAATCCTAGAGCACTAATACGAGAACAGCATACATACACATATTATGCATACGTGAATGTTAGGTTTTGAGGCTGCTTAGCCCATACTATAGTGGTGTTTAAAGGCCCTTTACTGTAGATGTTTTACTAGACACGGTTCTAAGTTTTTTTCCACCACCTTTCATAATATGCATGTAAGGAACATGAGCTATAGTTTAGTGCTATGTTCATAGTTTAGTGCTATGTTCATTTATGGCTGTCTTACAACTATTTGGCAATGCTTCCATGTTCAGGGACTTGTTATATATCAGAGTAAATGACAAACAATGTTTTTCTCCCTTGTCTTAGTATCAAATTCTGAGATTCTATTTGGTTCCACTGTTTCAGATGTGTTCACCTTTAGTAAATGCGTTACTTCATCTCTGGTTATCTCAAGGTTCTTCAGTGCTGCTTGGTTTGAAAACATGCCCGAGAGCAATTCCTTGAACTGCTGCGAACACCTTCGGGAATCTCCTTTTGAAAGTTCACTTTTGCAAACAGAGTGGTAGATGGTTGGAACAAGTGAAAAGGTGGAGGCCAAAACTGTTTGTAGTTTCAAAGAGTCTGTCTATATATATAAATATTAGTATATTTTGGTAGCAGACTTTCTTGTAAACATATGTTGTTGAATATGACTATTGCAAGCCCCAAAGAACTCAGTATATAGGCAAGACAACAATGTTTCTTTCCAGGCGATTAACAATGCATAAACAACAGGGCTCCATCAAGGAACATATAATCTCTTCTCACAACCAGACCATCACCAGAGAAATCTTAAACAACACAGAAATCATCGATAGGTACAGCGATAGCAGGCGGCTCGACATCAGCGAGGCACTACACTTCAAAAAGTCAACACCAGCAATCAACAGTCAATTAATGCACAACTATATTCTATAGTTGTCTGTCTGTGTGTTTGTCATAAGTGTTCTGTCTTGTGTTTGTCATAAGTTCGTTCACCTCACCCAAAACTTTGTACTATATCACCTCGCCCAAAATGAGTATAAGTTCGATGAATCTGTGTGTAAAATAAGTCTTTGAAAATGTAATAAGCATTACAAAATGCATTCAGGCATCAGACCATTAAAAAATGAATTTTGGATAATTGATATTTTTATTACCACCGACAGTGAAGAAAAACATAAGAAATATTGAGAAAATTTATGTTAGAATTATTAGAAGAAAGAAAGAAATAAGAAATAATGTAAATTGAATTAATCCGTTCCACACACCCAAAAATATTAACTTAATACATTTTTACAGACTACTACTCATATTTTTTTAATATACCTTACCTTTATTGAGGACTCTTGTTAGTATATGGAAGATGGTGAGGAGGGGAGGGGGGGGGGAGAGGACAGAGAGGGGAGAAGGACAGGTTTTAGTGTTTGGAAGGGGAGTCTCCTTCCATTATAACATCAGGCACTGATGACATGTCTGGGGGTATTCTCTCCTATGTTTTGCAGGCATACCACTAGGACCTGGGTGTGGCTCACTGCTTCTTTGTCTCACCAAGAACCTGTCTATAGACACTTGGTTTTCCCTACGTCTCAACACTTGTCTGTAGTGAGACATCAAATCTCTTGTTTATCCTCTATCATCATCCTCACAACTATTTTCTTAGGTTGAACTTTACCACTGACTTTCTTGGGACCCATGGTGTGATATAAAATAAGAACTTCTATGTTCAGAAACCAAAAAAGCAGAAAAACAATTACAATAAATTCTTTACTTTACAAAGAAATCAAGCGCAGTCGTCACTAGGCGGGAGACACTGGTAAACACTGAGCGTGCCTCGTCCACACTGCACCCAGCAGAACCACGTGCTTGCTCAACCCATACAAGCATCAACAGACGAATCTCGTTACAAGGCGAATGTCGTACACCAACTCAAATTTGACCGAGTTTGACATCGTATACCAAAAAAAAAATTGTAATCTAGGGCAGTTGTAGACCAAGGCTCCACTGTATATACAGTATATAGCACCATCTGAGTCAATATTGATCATGGATGCTAAAATGAGACTATAAAGACAAGTGATGTCAAAGGAACCTGATTCATCAAGGATTCTATTGAGGAACATGAATGAAAGGTACAGTGGGAAAGCACAATACTGTACTAGTATCTCAGAATCACGAAAAAGCAAGATATTCTACATGGAGGTGCAACACTGTTCCAACAGTAAAGTGCAGGTATTACTTCACTAAACACCCACGAGTTAATCATGTGTGTACTCACCTATTTGTGCTTGCGGTGATTGAGTTTTGACAAGCACAAATAGGCGAGTTCACACTTGAATAACTCGTGTGTATTTAACACTTTCGCGCTTTAGATTAGAGATAACTCGTCGCCGTTTTTTCTTACGATTCCGCATAACAGCCTACTTTTCTCGTCCATCGAAAAAATATTTCTATAAATTCCATTTTTTAACCGAAATGGACGGGGATACTCTCAGATTATATACGTTTTGTAGAGAATTTATTTGCGAATTTTTTGGTACCAGAATGAATATTATATCACATAAACTTCTATGAGTAAAAAAAAAAATACACAAAGTATGTTTGGGGGTGTGGCGAGCGTGTGGCAGTGGGTTCCCTTTAGCCGTTGATATATCCAACACGTGGGAAATATTTGTATGTGTTATGTATATGTCTGTGTAGGGAATTTTACTGTGATCACTGTCATACAAATTATAAAATGTTTCAACAAGTATAAACATGACAAACATCAAACGAACGAAAACAATGCGTTCGTTTCTGCCGCGAACGCATACTGAGCGACACGGTTCTATATTTGGCGCTTCTCTTACACATGCTTTGTACAAATGTTATACATTTCATCTTATAGAAAATTTTATTGCGAACACATTGGTATAAAAAAAGAAATACGTACATAGAAAAGTAGGGTCAGGAAACGTATAAACTTTCCAAACATGATTTCCCCCCTGTGTTTTCGCCAGTGCGCTCGCGGCTAACTACTCTCCACTTCACACACTCTTGCGGGTGGGCAATTACCTATATTAAACATTCATATGCATATGTCCGTGTAGAGAATTTTATTGTGATTCCAATGATACCAAAATTAGCGATGTAGGACAACTGTAGGCTTCGCAACCATTAAGAGAGTGGAAACATTTTGTTGCTGTTTGGCGCTCTCGGCGAGTGATCTGCATAGTTTTTTATTTGGTGTTGATACTCCTTATGCTTGGGCGGCATTTTATAGGTATGCTCTTATTGACAATTTCATTGCGAACACAGTGATACCAAATTTAAATACGTGCGCCTTCAATTATTGTCAGGACAGTCAAAAGAGTGTACACTTTTTCGGTCTTACCGCGTAGGTGCGCGAAGTGCCGAAAGCATCTGGGGTATTGTTTTTTTTTGAGCGCCGAGAGCGTGAAAGTGTTAATGAAGTAATACCTGCACTTTACTGTGGTAGAGGGGGTGGAGACCTTGCTCAGAAAAGTAACAATAATGAATGAATAAATTAAGACATCTCTATCCAGGATGGGTTATTAGATAATGGTTGGACCTTACCTTTTTCTTTATCCTTGATAAATTCATCCTTGTCAATTTCAATTTCTCCTTTATGTGACTTCATTATATACTGGTTACCCAGAGCAATCATGTCCAGTTCATATTTTTCAATAGCTTGAAGTTCCTGTAAAAACAAGCATCATATACAATGAAGAACATTTAAATTTATGAACAGAATAACACAGATCTTAATCTAATCATTACACAGTTACAAACTCTTGATAAGAACCTTTCTACTACCCCACTTGAATATCTATTAACCCTTTTGTGGCAAAAATTGATTTAGGTCACCCCCGAAGAAAAACTGTCATTTGCTGTTATAAGCGACCTCAGTCTAGGTGCTAGGGAGCAGCATCACACATAATCAAAGTTTATTTAAGGCTATACTAACTTAGGCAGCCCATCACACTAAGTAATAAAAGTTATAAGGAAAACCTTTTGGCAATCTATGGCTCTAAGCAGGAGGCATAGGTTCAAATTATGAGCATAAAGTGTGCCAAAATAAATTACATATTAGAGTATTAGTATTACATGTTTATAATTACACACACACACACACACACACCCACACCCATTAATACATTCATACTCAAACACTCACAACTGGACACGTTATTATTTATCTATTACCTTCTTCTCTTCTCTCTCTCGCCATTCACAAAGTTCTTTGGATGCTAGCTCTTCAGATGTCATTCTAACCAAGTTAGATGGAGAAATTGTTCCATTTAATATCTTGCGGAACAACCCACTGTTCTTTGTATCTTTGGTATTAAAAAGAATACTCCTGTAGCGAGACTTGTACTTGAACCCAACATCCTGAAAAGTAAACAATATTAATAGTGATGATTATTAAACAACATCAATTACACTATTTTTTGTGTATTCAAAATTATATTTCTTTGGAATTAATCATTGTACATACAATCCTAATTCTTCCCCACACAAAGATACGTACAATACTAAAGACATGTGTAAATCCAATGGGCAAAATTTGATTATTTCAGGATTTTTGGCATTTGTGAGCGGATATCACACTTCAGACATGACTATTATACTTATTATTAGGGTATTATTCTAATTGTATGGATATAAAATAACTGCATAGATGTCCTTCTCAAGGGACAGAATAAGTATAACACAGAAGTTCATTTGAAGTAGGAAGAAAGGTGGTATTTTAGTTTCAATTTGAAGATCATGTACAGTGATTGTAATATCATTCAATGCAATTTGCTTATAGTATTATAGTAAATGTATTAAACACACACAAAAGAATAAACAATAAAGACTATGATCCAGATTCAGACCAGATTGCTGTGCTCCGAGGCCGACTCCCGAGGTCAAGTGAGGTCAAGAGCCTCAGACAAGTCACAAAGCCAATATAATGCACCAGGGTGTAAATAGTGTAGTATCAACACTTCTCACAGTGACCAAACAATACAACCACAAACATATGCTCACCCAAGCAATCACCCACTACGATCTTATTCTACTTGGATAGTTTATTTTTGTCTTATTTAATATATTTATATATTGCTAGTGTTTTCATATTAACAAATACAATTACAACAAAATGTGAAATACTGTAATTACCTAAGTGATTATAATATTTCACTTTCCATTATAATTGTATTTTTAAATATGAAAACATTAACAATATATGAAGATAAAAGTAAACTAATAAAGTACATTGTCCCACATGCATTTTCAACTACACATGAATTCAGGTAAACAAAATTATTACATTATCTGAACACTTTAAATAATACACATTTGTCACAAAAAGTGTACAATAAACAAGTAAGAATCAGCGTACATTACATAGTTTCAGGGAACTGCTTTAATTTTCACTTCACTTATTGGGAGTTTATACCGATGGATCCCAAACTTAAGAACAAAATATATTGTACGTTTAATATGCAGGTTGACGAAAATTGACTGAAAAACTTATGAAGGCAAGATGTTCACTTTCACTCTGAGTAAAGTTTCAATGTGCCAAACACTACGCAAAATTTTTTCTTGGATATGTATATAATCACATTATAAATGCTCTCTTTATTTTGAAGTTTTACACTTCTGAGGCAGCAAAAAAGATCCATTGGGTCACTCTGATTTTCCAGTTAGTTTTGCTTCACCTCCACGAATTCTAATGGCTTATTTGGTTTGTTTCCCTGCCAGACAGTGTTTATTACTTTGTGGTTTACCCGTAAAAGTAATAAAATGAAGAATGGCCATAGCACAGCAATAATTTAGAGTAAGGTCTAAATAAATGATCAAACTATCTTCAAGTGTACCTAAACCCCACAACAGTTTATGGGATTAGGATTGCAGTCAGCCACGTGCTTTCCGTGCCTTTCGGGACCGAGACTGAACGGACAACCTGTCATGTTCGGATATGTGGGTCATCATCCTGAAACAACCTGTCTTCCTACAAAAAACGTTCACTCTTTGCTCATATGTGTTACACAAGGCAAAAAAATTCCCGTACCAGATAGTGGAAGCGGCTCACAAAAGTGATGTACTATCCTATTTTCTATTTTGGGTCCTCTGGTAGGTTAGGGAAGGACACTTTACATTAACCGTTTTCTTGACATTGGGAAACCTTAGGAGGACAGGCTGCCTGAAAAGCCAGGGGGGGGGGGGAGGAAAAATTACAATTTGGTTGCAAAAATTCGACAGTGATTTGTTTGCACTCACCAATATGAGAAGTTCTGATCCACTTGTTAACTTGAAGATAATAGTTGTTGGAACATTGTTATTTTAGATAGAAAAGGTGGTGGTGGATGATGATAAGTGTTGGGTTGACAGGAGTGGAAATTAATGGTGATGAGGTAACCTCAGCAGACTGTCTGAGGTTACTCTACTCTAAACAAAAGCTTCAAACTCTGCCTGGCAGCGTTTAAAACTTCTGAGTCATCCATTAGTGTATGAACACTGCTCAAGTGGCACTGTGTACGGTCATTGGGCAAACTAGTACCATCTTTATTGCACATTTTAATTCAGACTGCCTGCTCCACCAGTTATCCTAACTGTTTTATCCGAACAAACCAAAATCGGATAACATGCACTTTCGGAAAGAAGGCGTTCGTGAATCACATAGCAGACTGTATTACAATACAAAGTAAAGTACTTGAACAGCAAAACTAATAGTTGTTTCATGGCTCTCATAAAACTAAATAAACTTTACAGTTAAAGTCAATATTCTTTAGAAATGTAGTGCATCTGAGAGTATGTGAATGTTGGAACACATTTTATATACAGTATACACTGAATGTGAATACTACATATGCTGTGTATCCACCTAATTATACTTGCAAGCAGTTGAGCTTTGTCTGAAATCTACCTCTCAATCTTCCACTAACTGCTATACAGGTTCCCGAGCCCATAAAACTCATCACTTTCACACTTGAAAGTGTGTTTGCAGTCTTCCTCCTCCATTTTTCCATACAAATCTTTTCTATTTGCTGAATATGCCAACCAAAACAATTATTTCTATTGTCTCCGTGGCTCATATAGCACCCATTTTCAATCATATTGTCTACTCTATCAATTTCCTTAAATATTTGTATGCTCCGATCATGTGTGTATGCGCGCGCACGCGTGTGCGTATTCACCTATTTGTCTATACTGTAATTTCAAATTTCAGCTCTTGGACCCAGCCATTTCAGCCACATTCCACCCAACATGAATGTGATTAAATATTTCATTGATTAATGTACTATATTACTTTATTCTTGTGAGTGAGTGTGTATACAGCACACTCCTGAGACTGATGGATACCTACTACTATAGAGCATTCATAAATGTGTATCTTGCCTAATACAACACAGTTTTTACAGAATCAACCAATCTGTACAGAATCTGTCAACCAAATCCAGCACAAGAGCAAAAACCACCAGAAAGATAGAAAAACCAAAACAGACAACAGCAAGGAAAATATTGGCACATTTGATAACTAGGAATACAGTACAGTAGTTAGGTTGTTACCCCTGTTAGATATACACACACCCCACCACCAGATGGCAGCTTAGCGAGCAAATGGTGTGCACAGTTTTATTGGGTCAGTCATGCGTCTGGTGTGGACCCTACCACCATGTCACTATCACCTTCTTGACCAGTTTTTTCTAGATAAGTGTTGGTTATCCTTAGGACTGTCCTGCAGTGGCCTGTGCCTGTGCCATTTCCTTTTTTAATGTTAGCTTGACATGCATGTGTTTCACATCCTCACTGTTAAGTAAGTAATTATCAAAAGAAGGCACCAAACCGGGAAGGCTATGTAGCACCATCAAATACGCAAAATAATCAGAGGGCGCTAAATATCACCAAGGATGCCAATACGAGAACAAAAACGCATAAGGCGAACGATATCAAAAGTATCCGAGTCACCAAGAATGCTATCGAGGGACAGGTGACCGCGAGGGGCGGTCGGAAAGCAAGACACACGCTCGTCCTGGAAGTCAGGACATTCAAGAAGGATATGCACGACCGTAAGAGGGACAATGCAACTAGGACAATAAGGAGCAGGGCGGCGCTCCATCAAGTGACCATGGGTTAAGCGAGTATGGCCAATACGCAACCTCGCCAGAGCTGTTTCCCACCGCCGGTTACGGTGGAAGGAGGACTGCCACGAGGAAACACAACATTTAAGAGTACGTAGCTTGTTACCAGTAACAGACAACCAAGAAGCCTGCCAACGGGTAAGGACTGAGGAATGGATAACCGGGTAAAAGTCGGAATACGGAATGCCCTTACGAGAGATGGGACAAGAGCGGACAGCTTCCTTGGCGGCAGCATCCGCACGCTCATTGAAAGACACACCAATATGGCTGGGAACCCAACAAAACTCAACCGACTTAAATTTACTGTGAACGAGAAACAGCCAATGCTGGATCTCGACAACCACTGGATGAACCGGATTAAAGGACCCGAGAGCCATGAGGGCACTACAAGAGTCAACAACAACTACAAAGGAAGACTGACAACGAGAAAGCAGGAGACGAAGAGCATAGAGAATAGCATAAAGTTCCGATCCTCACTGTTAAGTGAACCCTGAGTCTTTGCCTAGATCTGTAGGTGTTTATCTTTGTGAATAAAGTTGCATATGATTGGAACAATTTTAATGAGGTGGTGGTGAATTCCAAATCATCAATAATTTTGAAGCATCATATGATAAAGACTGCAATGAATACTGACCACCATGAGCATAGCACTCATCCTTTAACAATACTTAATTACACACACACACACAAAACTAGACCTTACCACACCGAGAGGGCATGATAACACAAGATTCTAAGAGTACCTACTTGATAGCGTTCTAGTTCTTTTACTCCCCGGCCCGAGGCCAAGCTTAACTTGGGAGAGCTTGATCCAACAGGCTGTTATTTGGAGCAGCCCGCAGGCCCACACATCCACCACAGCTCGGTTGGTCCAGCACTTCAAGATAAAACTAAATAGTTTTCTTCAAGAAGATTGTCCACGGTTGTTCCGGCAATATTTCTTATACTCGCAGGCAAGATGTTGTGGATCTCTGGTGTTTATACAGTGTTCTTTGGTTGTTTCTATGACACCCCTACTCTTCACTGGTTCCATTCTGCATTTTCTTCCATATCGTTCACTCCAGTAAGTTGTTATTTTACTGTGTAGATTTAGGACCTAACCCTCCAGTATTTTCCACGTGTATACTATTTGATATCTTCTCGTCTCCTTTCTAGCGAGCACATTTGGAGAGCTTTGAGACAATCCCAATAATTTAGGCATTTTACCGCGTCTATGTATGCCGGATATGTTCTCTGTATTATCACTATTTCAGCAATCTC